AATTACTAACATTCCTATCATCATGAAAATACTTCCTAACCATCATTCTTTCAGGAAACACAATTAAACAATCATCTGTTTTCTCTGAAGAAAAACTTATTTTTGTAACTTGTTAATTATCTAATCATGAAACAAAATTAGAATCTAGTAGCTCTGTATTCTGTTTAAAAGGTCAGAAAACAGAGCAAACATTGAGACATCCATATCTCTAAAAAATAAAACTTGACTGAGCACAAGAGAATCTTGTGATGCACTTCAGGGCTTCAGCTACCAATAGTGATGATGTTCTGCAGGTTAGAGGTGTTAAAAAAAAAAAAAAAAAAGGGTTTTCTCATTTTTACTCTTCCAATTCTCTCACCTATCACTCCGGGTGGGGGGGGAGGAGTGGCCGTGTGGTGCTTAGTTGCCGGCTGGGGTTAAACCATGACAGTCCTTTTTGGCACTCAACATGGGGCACGAAGAGTTCAAGAGAATGACAGGTTTGATTGGAATGTGCTAAGTCAAATTTATAGCTGTTATTGCTGTTCAGCTATTAACTGGCAGGCTCCTGCACTTGCCATGGGGCTTACTGGCCTTACCATATATTAGACTCTGGTGCTCACTAGTGGCTGCTTTTTGCTTTCGCTGCTTGCTGTACTGCTTGTCACCTTACTCTGCTGTGCCTGGAAATATTTTGGTAACAGCCATGGCAATGCACCTGGGCTGGCAGGTGACCAGGGCATCGCTGCAGTTTCTGTGCTGCTGTACTGGACAGGCTGGAACTCCATCAAAGGGACTGTGACCTGGGGATGAGTCCACATGGGAGCAGGACACCCAGAAGCATCCATGGCCGTGGATAAGCCCACACCAGAACAGGTACATCAACACTGAGAAACCTTGCCATTATTAGATGGGCTGTGGCAGAAGAGGTGTTTTCAGATCCCCCCTTCTTCTTATGCCAATAAATTTCTAAGAAGCTGAGATGCAAAGTTTATGATGGCACAATTCAGCAAATTCTCAGAACAGTTAGTTGTCTAGGGTATATAGTTCACTGAAAAATTAAAAATCAGAGCAGAATTATGAAGACAGAGATAGGTTGGTGGATATACCTGGATGGACAAACGTTTTTTTCTCAAAGTCACTAAATCCTGAAACATATGAGGGTAAAAGGCTTGAAAAAGAGGTGGCCAAGTCATCAGAAATTAGGAAAGCAAAAAGAAGGTTATTACCAGATAGTTCCCTAAACTATTTAATATTAACAGATTGTTCCCTATGCTACATTCCTTCTCCAAGGGCCATGTGAAAAATGATAAACTAGATCATCATTACCAGCTGATCTGAAAAATTTTATTGAGATCCCCATAGCAATACTTGCTTCCTTTTTTTTTTTTTAATTTTTAATTTCTATGTTTCAAAGGCTCGCTTTTTTTAGAAGTGCAGCAAATTCCTTATATTGGCAACAAAATTGTGTCTATGCTTCCAAATGAAATGTAAGATTTCACACTACACCTATAAAAATCTTGGTTTGCTCTAACACCGCTTGCAATACCGATTATTTTGACAGCAGTTTCATTACAAAACACGTTAAGTGGAACTTTCATTTCTCCTGGTTCACAAAAATATACAAGAGAACAACAGCTAGATTAGGAAGATTGGGGGGTGGGGTGGGGGTGTTTTAAAGAAAGTAGGTTAGTTCACTAACCACAACCATATCAGTAGCATTATGCAATTTATACCAGCTGTAGGCAATTTTTGATCAAAACAGTACACTGTAGATGGAAGGACTTATATCCAACAAACCTCTGAAATAAGACTGAAAACAAGGCTTGAAGCTTCAGTTTTAGAAGGCTTCCCCCCCACACACATCACACAGACAGATAGTGCAGATAATTCATTATTCTTCCAGTTTTTTATTACCTGGTCTTCAATTGACTTATGATCTGTTTCCTGCAGCCAAGAGCCAAGAAGAACACTATCATCATAATGACAAAGAGACCTTAGGAGTGATGTGGTTGTATTAGCAGAGTTGTCTGTCAAAGTAAATTCTGCTACCAACTCTCGAAGAAGTGCGTTAAATGATCCTAAAAGGATGGACATTAAGAAGAATCATTGCTACTTCTTATCCAAAACGTTTCAGCTAGCAATCAGAAGTTAGAAGTCAAAGCACATACCATTACCTCGATTTTACAGGTAGCAAACAGACAGAGAAGTAAACCTGACAAGACTAGAGTTGAGAGCAAGGCTTCAAACAGAACCCTGGCCTCCCAATTCCCAAATCAATATTCTAAACAACAGATTGGGCCACCCCTTCCAGGATGACAATCCAGATTTTGCAAAAATCTGCTCATCCACATGATCATGTATATTTAATGAATTAACAAAAAAAACCCCAAAAACTAGCCTGTCAGATCATATCAGATCATGTGACAGTGTCAGGCAATTTAGTAATAATAGCATAAATCTGTCTAATAGATCAAATCAGGTTAAAAAAAATAAAATACCAGAAACCAAAACTAGATCTTCATTCTCACATCTGCCCTTTGAGTATACTAAGAAATAACGTTCTCTATCTTTTAAGTAACAATGACATGAAAGACCTAAGTTGTACTTCAGAACATGGTCTCCGTACCTCTCGGTCCTATAAATGGGACTGAAACTTTTATACTCTTTTACTCTAATATTTTGCAATATTCATACTCCGTAGTCGTACTGTCAAGATGACATACAGGAGATGAGGAATACAGTACTAGACTCTTGGAGATTCCTAGTATTCTATTTTGAATCTTATATCTGCTTCAAAGGCAAGCACCAAAAATACATCAAAAGGAGTAAGTAGAATTATTACTTTAATAAAAATTGTTAAAAATTTATGTACCTTCATATGTCTTTGGAGGTAATAAAGCCAATATATCATAAAGTCTTAAACGGACCATAGCTGCACTAGCTTTGAGATGAGCTCCATGGGCTTTAATTACCGATGGAATGCTATAGAATCAAAAGGGAAAGATTTGAGACAACCGGAAATAAGGCAGTTACTGAAAAGATTGTTTTCAGATTTCTTTTCATAAGATGTATCACTAGCCAAGACAAGAAAACAGTGTTCAGAGAATTACTCTGAGCAACATTATTCAGTTGTCAGTACGTTTTCAGAGGTAATTGCACAGAGCAACCTTTTTTTTAAATAAAAAAAACCCAAAACAACCACACTCTGCTGTAAATCAGACACATGTACCCTCTCAGAAATAACTCCTAATGGGGGGAGAGGAGAAACCAAACCACAAAAGCCAACCTGAAACTGTGTTTTTTTTCTTTTCTTCTGTAAAACATTTGAAGTCTTTTCATTAGTACATTTTATAAAAGGAGAGTTTATTGATTAACATCTAGTATATCAATAATCTTAGTTTTCTTGTTTCTTGCACAAGGATAAGCAAACCATGAATTCAAAAGCTCACTGAACTGGAAATCCATAACACAGTTAACAGAAGTTACCACAGTAGGCCCTTCAGCACAGGCTATGCAATAATATACTTTTACAAAGCTAACTACTATAAACACTGCTCATCAAAGTTTTTTCAACATGGACAAGCAGCAACAGAGCCATACTACATCAGAATATGAATTAAAACAAATTAGTTCCAGTATTTCATGTCTGGGAAAAGACAAAGGTGAATGAAGAGCAAAAACTGCCTACTTACTGCGACATCATTGTCATGGCACATTCTATAGGTGTCATCAATTTCCTGATCACATCCTCAGTAAGAAGCTCAGGACAGTGAGCAACAAAACTTCTCATAGCTAATAACAAAACAGTTTAAAATGTTACTGAAACAAACAAATATAAAGTGTAAGCAAGGTACAGATCCTAAGAGAATAACAAAAAAGCAGCAATTAAAAATGTTTATTCAAAGACTGTGCGACATGCTCATAAAAGTATACGCCAAAGCCAGGTCACACTGATGAAAATCCGACACATCTTATTCCTTTTCAAAGAAAGCAAGGAAGTTATGAGAATTCTCTCTATAATACTTAGTATCATGTTTTGGTTTACTGCATGCTTGTAATCTCAGATTTGAAATCCTTACCGCACAAAGCTCCAGCACGGCCTTCCAGTGTTACTTGCCAGGTAAAAGAATCTCCTCTCGCCTTCTCTGCTTCCAGCTCCTTCAGAGAACGTGGAAACACGTTTCGCCACAGCAGCAACATCTTAGGTAGATGATACCGAACAACAGAAGGACCTATGCAAAAAAATAAAGTGACAGTAGAATAAAAACTAAGTGTGAAAAGTCTGCCATGAAGGCATTTGCTCTTTAAGCTGTTTTTCTCGTATTTCATTTCTCTTCCTTCTCTCCCTGCTTGAACAACAAAAACCAAAGGAAAAACTTTCTCATTTCTAGGTTGAAAGTGTGGCAAATCAATGGTATAGGTAAGTCTGTTTGTTGATACCAGCACTAAAAACAGGTAATAGGCGATTCTATACTTTGTCATGTAATAGATAAACACCGCCAACTGCCTTTTTACTATCTTTTTATTCTGACCTCTGATTTTTTTTTTATATTACTATTTTGAAGGCAAGCTCTTTAGCCTACCCTAACTTGTTCATAAAATGAGTAGAAAAATAACTGACAGTTACTGATTAGGTAACTAGTTTAACAGTCAAGTGTAAAGATAACTTCTGAAAGAGCTCCAGAAGATCCAGTGCAAGTGCATTAAAAATATATTGGAAATATGGCTACACTGTTAGAAAAACACAACAATAAGCTGGCAAAAGAGAGACAATTTAAAGAAGCAAGATGAAACACAAAACAGTATTTGCTGAGAGATCAAAATACTGCAGAATGCCTCAGAACTCTATATTTCCCGCTATAAAAAACCCCAAACAAAACAAACAAAAAAAATATTGCTGTAAAATTCAAGAGTATACTTTTAATGTCTCAAATATGGCTTCCAGTATTTCTGTGATGGCAGATAAGAACATGAGGCTGACTTTTTTAAAAGACAACTGTATGGCTTTTGAACTGGTAACACTTCTAATCAGTACTGCTGCTTATCGACAGGCACACGTGCAACTTGTTGGAATGCTCATTACTTTTTATTTACAGTCCATTTCTTCTGCACCACCATATTAAGGAAAGGAAGACTATGGGCAATTTTGCCCTTTCCATAGAGTGACTAAAAGCTGGGTTTCTAAAAACAGAGCAGAATTTTCTTTTAGATACGACACCTTCCACTATCCTTCAGCTTACATAAACACTAATATTTCACTTCTCCCCAACATAAACATCACTGCTGAAATAAATGCACTAACACTCTGTTTCCCTTAGTATGAATACTCTTGTGCTACATACTGGACTGATCATGAGTAGAAACCATTTGCCACAGTTGATAATCAGAAATATTGGACAAGCATTAAAATCAAACAAAAAGCAACCATTTTTACAAACCTAAAGTCATAAGTGCTCCAAGTAAAAGCCATCCAGCTTGAGTCCGCTGCAAGGAAAGTCTACTGTTTTGTGCAGCAGTTCGTAACAGATCCTCAGCAATACTGACCACCATCTGCACCAATGACAAAAAACAATGGACTTTAAAAATACAAATTAAGCCACTGCAAGCTACTGCTACACATCCACCCTTACAGACTACAATAAAGACGTTCTCAAGTCATAAACTGACCTTCCATAAAGAATGAATGCAGATGACATTTCATGCAGATGATTAGTGTTTTACATATGACAACACAGACAGTAATATTCTCTTCACTGATTATTCATTAATAGGCCAAACAAGAATGCAAATTTGTAAGAGAGAGGGGAAAAAAGCTGGTAAACATCGCATCTGAAATACTACAAACACATGCTCTGGCATTGCTCCCTTGCTAGGTACAGGATCAATTTCAGTAACACTTTAACTCTGTACCATGTCACACATTTTGCAAAGCTATTACTTCTAGACAAAAAGGTATCTTCTGGTACACTCGCAGGTGAAACACGCATCTCACCTTTCCTTTGGCGTGAGGAATACCTAAGGGACACTGATGGACACCACCTAACAAAGCAGCCATTGCAAAACTGTAGCCACTAACAGCTTCAGGAGAGGTCTTCAGATTGTTGAGTCTTTCTGCACATCTATCTAAAAATGGAGTCAACTGGAAAGGCAATGCCACAGCCACACACCGCAAGCACCATGCAGCAGCAAGTCGAGCAGCCATGCTGGGATGAAGAAGAACTGAAGTTACTGTCTCCAACAGACCTACAGAAAAGAGAGTTTACAGTCTAAAGTTATGATGTGCTTTTTAATATACATAGACAAGTCAAGTGAATGAATACTAGGCAGGCAACATGGAAGTTAAGTCAGAAATAAAGTACTTGAATTTCATGATTTTGCCTTTTTCTTTAAGGAAAGACAGACGTATTATTAGCATTATCTTGTTCCACATCAGGTTTTACCAGCAAAGCTGGAGCTGTCAGAGCCATAGCACTGACTTCTACTACTTGAACAACTGAAAAGAGGCAGTAACCCTCTATAAGGGAACAGAAATCATCTCACCCAGTGCCTACTATCTGCCCATTTTTCATACAGATTGCCAATAACAGAGCAACAGGAAGACTGACCTTTGGTTTTGCTTCACACTGGAGAGAAGCACATGCTACAGATGTCACTGACCACTGTACTCTGCTTTTGACACAGCACTGTCTCCCCTGCACCACTACTATCCTTCTATACTTTCTGAACCTCTATGCGTAGCTAATCCCACGTTCCAACTGTGAGCTCTTCAGTTCAATCTGTCTCCCCTCCAACACCTTCCTTAGTCCGGATCTCCAACTTTGCAAACTCCTACTTCAAAGCCCCCACTGCTGCCTTATCTTTTGCTTTCTCTGTAGCTAGTGAACAACTTCTACCTGCTTACTTCATAGCAGCTAGCAGAAGTAACACTGAGATAGTCCCCTCTGTTCTTATGGGGCACGGCAGCCAGCACAGGCTTCCCCACCCCATAGTTGGAGCAAAATCAGTATGAGAAGAATGTCATCTGCATCAAGACAACAACCTACATAATGAAACGTCTAAAGCAGCTTGCACTTCCATTGGAAAAAACATAGGCATCTACAAACTGAGATATCTTAAAACGGCAACACTACATTATAAACAGGGATTCAGATGTTAAAACAAAAAAAGAAGAAAACCCCACACAAAATCTTAGTCAACTTAAGCCAAATAACTAGCTTTTTAAAATGGGACTATCCACAGCTTCATCTCAACAAAATACTCCTAGCCTCCCCGCAGATATTTGGTATCTGAAGGCAATACAGCTTTCCAGGAGCAAGTATTTCAGACCTTGTATAGCAAAACAATGTTATTTCCTATAAAACCATTATCAGAAACAAATCAGTGCTAAAAATCACAACTTTACTCACACTTAAAACAAACTTCAGGCAGACTTCAATCAAAATATTTGCTTAATACTTTGTCAAACTTGAACTAAAGTTAGGATATTATACATAATGAGCTGGACAAATGTAGCTACCTGGAGTACTACTGGGAGTGCCAGTTTCACCAATTTCTTTCTTACATATTCATTTATTATTTAACTAGATTTAGTGATCTTTTATATTCATTGCTCAAATGTCTCATCTAATAAAAATAAATAAAATACAAAATAAATAGATAAATAAATAAAAATAAATCTATTTAGATTTATTTGCATACCAATAGATGGTTCTTGAATAAGAGGAGATGCAGTGGCATTCAGACTTTGAACCAGACTACCCAGTTCCTGGAGGGCACACACCATTACATGCTGGCTTGCAGCTACATCAGCAGCTCCTGATTTGTTTTCACTATTAGCATCATTCACTACTGCTTCTGCAGAAAATAAAAGTATCTTACTTAACTACCATTAGAATCGCACCTGAACGTATAGAGGATAGAAAGGGACAGTTTGGTTTTGACATCAACCCTATATTAAAACAAGACCACAAGATCAGTCATAGTGTGATCTCACAAAGCAAACATATTCTGAAGAGAAATAGTTTTACAGCTATCAGCCAAACACAAACATCCAAAGACCATGAAAAACAGATGCCCAGCAGTGACTACGGATGGCAGCGCACTAAGAGGTAGGATTCATAGAATGACACAACAAAACCAAATACACATATATAAAGCATGTGTGTATTGTATCTATATGCAGTAGCTAAAAATATAATCTTGACATATCTAGGTTCTCCATGCAAATTTGCATGCGTATATGTGGAATAAAACTAAAACCAGAAAAAAATGCAAAAAATGAGACCTGTAGTAAATAATTAATCACAACCTCTAATCATCTCAAAGTTATTCAATTAAGTTCTTAGATCCCACTGTAATTTCAGAAGCAGCAACCGTTACTTCGAAGAAAAGGGACTTTAGTATCAGCTTAATGTTTATATGTCTACTGCAGTACAAACTTAGAAAACCATCCACCTTATATGAAAAGAAGCAATCATTACCAATTAAAAATCCTTCCAATTTATCCTCAAATTCATCAGAAATGCTCAAAAAAATGAAACAGTTCTTCCAATCATCCTGATACGTAATGGAATTTCCTGCAACTTTAACAAGGTGGCAGGAGGAGGAATTTCTGCAACTGTTTCATCTCAGACACAGAATTTCCAATAGACTTGTTTTCCTGGAAGTAATACTTAGTGTAATCAGAACCCTTTTAAGGTTCCATACCTACCCTATCAAAAAAAAAGTTATGAGAAGAACATGCAAAAGTTTCAAAATCAATTCCATTTCCATATGTTAAACATTAAACTCAAATTAGATGGCAACAGAAAAGGAGAAGAAACAGATGTTTGGTAAATGCATTGTTGTGCAATTCCAGTTTACTTTCTCAATCCCCAGCTCAAATTAAATGATTTCATAAGAAACAAATGACAACACAGTTTAGTCAGTCCTCTTCGTGATTACATATTTTGCAAAGTTCTGCAAAGGGGCCACATTTATCTTCTCTAATTCCAGTGTTCAGATTACATCTTTATTTGTCATCTGTAAAATCTGATTGGATATCAGCATGGATATTAGTGGGGGATACACAAGGACCTACAAGATCCTGACCTATAGGATCTTCAGCACTGGCAGTAAAGAACTCTGCGCGACTTTCAATACAACCTATCCCTAGACAGATTGCAAACAGACACTTTTGTCCCCACTCCATTCTAAGCAAATGCAGTGTCAAAAGCCATCACATGACAACAAGCCAGCTTTACACAATCACTTTTCAAGCAGAACTTACATTTCGGATACCATATTTCAAACAGAAAGCAGCTGAATTATCTTTTACCATAACAACAAAATTACTTCTCGTAGTAGAAGAAAGCTGAAAAATGTCTGACCCAGTATAATGACAGTAACTTTCAAATGGTCTCAAAGAAAAATGGTTCTTACCCACTGCCTTCATTTGTTTACCAATGGCTTGACATATATCTTTGGCAGCTGCAATCTGTGCTTTCTCTCCAAGTAAGCTGCCCACAGTTGCTCTTAGGATGAAGGACACGCATCTTCGAGAGTAAACTGCCTCCACATGGGTCTGAGTTGCACGAGGATGGGAGACCAGATCAAGTACATGCGACAAAAACGTAGCAAAGTTGCGCTCCAGCCACTGACCTCCTAATGTTGTAACAAAGACAACATAGGCCTGCAAATTCAGAAGTTACATACAGATCCAATTAAAACAGAAACAAAAGACTATATTCAGTCACTGAAGACTAAAGACTACAGTTCTATTCATGCATAATGCAGTACAGTAGTAATACCACTTAGCAATAAGCAACCCTAATGAGGTCAAGCAGGATGAATCAATTCATTAGCTGGGTCATTGTCACTGAAGCTAAGCTGTTTCCAGTGCCAAGAGAAGCTCCTACACTGCTACATATATTGTGAAGCGCAAAATGCTCTTTGGATGACAGCAAGAGAACCCAGTCCATTGCTCTAAATGTGTCTCTTCTAAAAAAATTTAAGAACACAATGCCAACAACAGCAGTAACGTGAACATATTCTAAACTCACAATGAAGACTAGGCATTTTTTCCAAGTTCACCTGAAAAAGGCTGAGAAAAAACAGTATTTCACAAAGTACCCTATGATCAAAAAATCTGGATTCTTGCAAGTTACTGCAGCATATTGAAATACATGTCAGAGTGAGAATCCCTGAATTTGAAGAGATGCTGCTGCCACCTTTCTCTATCAGATAAGTGGAGCTTCCACGTTCAGCAGATTTCACCTACTCAAGACAGATGTATGGAGAAGAAATTAAGAAATCAGGGCTTTACACATCACCCAGCAGCTGAAAAGAGATCCAGCACACACAAAAGGGCAACAGTGTAACCCCTCTAGGAAGAAATAAAATTTAAATATGGAGCTGAAGTCTTTAACATACTAAATTTTCAAATATTTCTGCAAGTTAATCCCACCTAATACACACTGATCAAATAAACCTTCCTTAGCATGTATTTTAATCTACTGTCACTGCACATCAATAATAAAAAAAAGTAGCTGAGGTGAATGACACCGCACATACATCTCACAAAAATAGGCGAGTCAAACCAGACATGTAAGTTAACTTATAAACAAATTAAGAACAGAAGTATTTTTCCTACTAAAAGTGTTACAGTTAAGTATTACTTTATTTTAAAAAAAAAAATTAAAAAATTACAGCTTACGACAAACCTGGGTAACACCAACTCGCACTTCCCTATTGACAGATCCTCCTACTTTTAACATCTCTCCACCACTCTTTAGGAAACCAGATCCTCCTCGCAGAAATCCAGTGGCCATGAGCTCCAAGACCTCCTCAAGCGTGGCTCTCTTCACATTCTGTCGCATCACTTTTGCAAAAAGAAGACTAATCATTTAATCCCAGAGTTCCAACCAATACAAGTGATGATCTTGAAACCAGACTTATCAATTCAAAATTGTCTTACAAACATAAATCTAGCCAACATTTCAGATAATAGCTTGTTTTCATGCTTAAAAAATAAGCTACTCTTCCCAGGTGACTTTTGATAGTTTGCTCACTCTTTCTTTGTGTGACTACCACAGGGATTCTGCACTCTTTACTCTATTTAGCTTAGAGTTTACGAAACCAAACAATCCACCTACAAGCTTCCATCTACCAGAACAACAATATATCGTGCAAGACTCACGTAACATGGTACTGAAGGTGGAGTTTGTCCACTTGGAAATGAAATCCAGGACTCGTACCTGTTGCTTGTTTTGGTATCAGTGCTGTAGCCATGACCGTCCCCAAAAGCTTTGACACTGCAACTCGCACACCGTAGTTTGAGTTTTCCAGAGCTTTAAAGCACAGTGTTGCAACATTCTCTAGCTCAGCTGTCCACATAAACACCGCTTCATTCTGTAATTCCAGCAGACACTGTAGGGGAAAAAAAACTTGCTGAGCACCAATGGAGACCATTCTTACCCTTTATCTAAGTATCAGTGTAACTGTCAGTTTTTTTCAGCAAATATTTTAATATGAATATTTTAAGACTTAATTTCCCCCTCCACACACTGTCCCATATACCCAATAACGTAGCTAAGTATAAAATCATTAGACTCATGGAATACATTAATACATAAATAAAAATTAAAAGAGGAAAGCACAACAAAAGAACTATGTCACCAAAAACCTCTCCCACTGAGGCTAATATATTCTGTCATATTTGTTTACAAAGTGGAGAAGACAGTATTACAGTACCTCCCTTTAAATGAAATAAGTGAAATGTCTGAGCCTTCAGTGCAAACTAGTAAGGATTTGCCTTGCCAAAATAATTATCAGATTTCCTATCGTAAACAACAGGTCACAGTTCAACTGCAGGTACTTCACAGTCACAGCACAAGAATTTCTAGGACTGGTGAGAAACGCACCCACCTTAGCCACTGCGCATCGTACAGCCATAGATCTGTCCGTCAACAGAGATCGGGCATTCTTATAAATATCACGGTGACAAGAAGCTGCTGCTCCTCCCAGTCCATTTAGGACCTTCTGTAAACTCATCAGAATTTCACTGCGGCCCTGAGACTGCAACACACACAAAAAAAAAATTATGCAAAAATGAAGACACAGTACTTATATCAAGAACCAGGTGCATAACTCTGCCTTTTCCTGCTTCTGCACAAGAATATTTTTGGAAACATTGATAATACAGTTCACTGAAGTCATATACAAGCAACACCTAGCTGGTTTTAGATAGCAAGTAAGCACTACATGCAGCTTTACTAAAACTGCCTCAGTTGTCACATAAATTAATATGAGCTCAGGCAATCCAACAAATTGGCCCTAGACAAGATGCTTCTGTCCTGCCCCACCATTTATCTGCTGCAGCCTTGGGAAAAAAGAAGAAACAGTTGATATAAGAGAACAGGAAGCCTAAGTAGTCAACATCTTCCCACTATACCTGCACACAGGCAGGTACCTACAACTGGAGGGCACAAAAAAGAGAAAAAAAAAAAAAATTACACAGGTACAACAATACAGCCAAAGAAAGCAGCTGCCAGGATGAGATCCACACAATTAGTACTCCTTCCAACTTGTCACAGATTTAAAAAACAAACAAACAAACAAAAAACCAAATAAAAACCCAACAGAGATATTGGCATCAAATCAGACCTACTGACAGCCCAGGACACATTCTCTCAATATCACGACACTCTTCTTTTCAGGGCACAATGTATCCTGTTCACATGCAGAGTAACATCTTTGTTGCAAAACTTAAGTATTTATTATGCATTTTTCAACAACTGAGTGCTTGTTCAGGGTATACAAGCAGAAATCCTAACGCAGTAGTTAGAAATTATATATACAACCATTTAGCAATTTTAATTACTGATGCCACTATGAAGCAAGTACTAAAATATTCCTTTGACAAAATGCAGTAAGAATACATGCACATGTTTAACTTGATACTAATCATGTAAGTGATTTGCATTTTTCTTGGTAGAAGGCAAACAATCCAGGCATTCTGGCAAACACCTTTGGAGGAGCAGGTTTCAGTTTACATGGAATCAAGACCACATATATCAAATAATCTGAAACTTACCTCTGCACTTTTCAGAGACTTCAAAAGATTATTCACTGTTTCTGGAAAAGAACTACCCAGCATTCTGCCCATTTTTTCATAAAATGCTCCAACACATGCCACAGCAGCCCTATGAAAAGAGACATTAATCAGTGTACTCTTTTCTGTATTGTCTAGATGAAGACAAATTCTTGAATAGAAATGTATGTTTTAATGATCATCAATAAATAAAAATCTATTCATTATCCACTAGTTATACTGGCTCTTTAACACTATGCATTCAAATAATTTTTTTGTTAACAAAAAAAGTGACAGAACAGTTGCTAGATTCTAAGAACACAAATGCATTTGAATGGGTATTATTACAGGGTTATTACACATAGAGTGCAAAATACTGGAGAAGACAAGCATATGCTGAAATCTCAGCAAGGTTAGGGGTTTGTGTTTCAATAAACTGCCTCTTTTCCAAGCACCTGCAAGATAACCCCTACCCTTTAATATATCCTGACGCATTTTTGTAGATGCTGAATGATGGGATTTGAAAAAAGACTAAGAACTTAAAATACATAAATTATTGCATAACACAAGAAAATGTATAGGCACTGCAAAAATCACTGGATCCATAAACAGTTACATACACGTTTTCCTTGCCCTTCTATTTGAGATTAGGAATATTTTAAGTAACACTGTACCGCAGTTATATACACAAGTTGCTCCAGTCACAGAAGCAGCTCCTGAAAACATGCACTTTTTCATCACAAAGGAACGAGGTTTTTTTTTAAACCTGAAAATCTTGGGTAAATGACTTTCTAGCAAAGCTATTTGTACAAACTTATTACAGCCTACACCTTAATGGGCATGTCCCCTACACAATTCTTCTACACAAACACCAAAACCTGAACTTTGGAATCATAAAAAAACCCCACATTCTGGACTACCACTGGAGTGGGTAGCATAAGTTTCAGAACATGTTATAGTACAAAATCCTTCCTATTTATACAAGTTCCTCACAGAGTTGCAAGAGCTTCAAATAGGAGAAAAGTATCTGCCCAAATGGTGGCTATTTCAGATTTTATTGTTAAATCCCATCGCTATCATGTCTAAATGCGAGACCAAACTGGGGTTCACTAGACACTGTGAACATATGAAGCAGTACGTATGGGAAAGTATTAAAAACATTTGGCATTAACCAAATTCCCACCAGCGAGACTGCTCCCATAAATAAAGACAAACTATATCACACGTACACGCACACACCCCCCCACGTATACAGCCTCTGTTTGAGAGACTTCATCAGTATATCACAGTAGGGCAATATAAACAGGCAATGATTGATGGGGGGGAGGGGGAAAAAACTTGACCATTTGGTTACAGTTCTCTGGGCATAGGTTATGCTCATTTGACGATCTGCAGGTTCCATCTCAAATGGGGTACCTGAGCACAATCAGCAATAATCCTACTGGTGGAATTTCATCATTGCATTACATCATCAACTGTTACCCTCTCCATGACATAAGCATGTGAAGAAACATAAGGTAGTCCCTTGCCTAGAGGAAAGCATCTCACTTTCAGATAGCCACATGTGCCACCTTTGAGTCCTGCCCTCCACAATCTCAATCCTGCTCTTTGCTATATCAAGCACAGGTGAACTCCAAATAAGCGTGAAAAATACAAGTAAACACAATGTGCATATAGATACAGGCAGATTTTTCTGTAATATCCAGGACCATTTTGCTTAAAAATCATTCCGCTTTCCCTAATAATATTAAACATACAGTTTTGTGGGCAGGTAGGCTGCAGTATCATCTTTGCTCTTGATGATGTCGTTACACTTGTCAAGCGTCTGAAAAACAGTATATGTGTCTCCAATGCTGTAGAGAGCAGCAAGATTTTTTGCTAGCAGTTTTCGCGTAGGTGGCCCAGGGGAACTGCTGATGAGTCCTGTTAGCTGTTCTACAAGTTTCTTCTGTTTTTCCTTGACATCTGTCTGTTAACGGACCAAAAATAAATAAAATAAGTAATTTCATCCTATGTCTTGCCTCCAACACCCAGAAAAGCCTACAAGAGATTGAAGTAAATCTTATACTGCTCCCACTTGTAATTCAGCAAATTGCTTGTCTCGCAGCGATTTGAGATATATTCAACAGTCCCAGAGACACATGCTAAATGCTCAGAATTAGCTGTTACCCTATTTAATTTTTACTTTTTTAAAATGCTTACTAAAAATACAGTAATACCTGCCTAGAACATCTTTTAATCCCTACTCTGGGAGGTAAGGTTTTGCCTTCCAAATATTTACGACAATGAAGAATTCAAACCAAGCTACGTGTTATATAACAGAGAATCACATTGACTGCCTACAATTAAACACTCAAAAGCTACAAACTAATATAGATGCTCTTCTGGCTGAATCTGAAATCATACAGTTATCACCTGGCCATTACCTGTCAACTTTCTCTAGCGTGAAACTAATACAAATAGTTCAGAAAGAAGGGAAAAAAAAACATTAAATTACCTTATTAGCAGCTACTAGCACCTTATCCAAAAATCTTAACCACTCAAAGATAAACACTGGTCTCTTTGCTTCTGTGATTTGGGCTAATGCTTCCTCGTTCAGTAACAAACTATGAGCCAGCTCCATAACTGGTTAAATTCCAGTTTTGTTGTAAATTTGTGTAGCAACTCTAAAATAAAAATGTAAATATTAGTACAAAGTGTAGCACAACAGTACAAAGCTTCGAAAATCAAATGAAAATATGAAGATTATATTTATAGATTACAGTATCATGGTTCCAGCCTGCTTAGACTTGTCTTAGCTAAGCAGTCCCACATAAAAACTACTCATATATTTACAACCGACTACATCCATTAGTATTTCAGGGAACAGAGTTGTTAACTGTAAGAAAAGCACCTACAGGCCACTTCAGGGTACTAGCTCTTAGCCAGGAAAAATATACTGAAGTCCCTGTTTAAAGAAAAAAAAACCAAAAAACAATAAACCACACACAAAAGAGGTAAGGGAGTCATCTCACTGTCTACACTTACATAAAAGAGAATAAGTATTGTCCCTTATCCAGACCTTTGACCACACTCCCCAAGCTTGGGCATGGACCTGGCCACCTTCTCAAGACCTTCAACAGACAAGGTGAGAAGGAGATGAACTTATCACAAGTAGGAATTTCCACCCGTTACAAATTTGTGAGAGACAGGAACAGTGACAGCACTTGGCATCAGCGACCTGCGACTTCCCAGATCCCACTAGCCTTGCGTTAAGTGCTGGACAAATAAGCCCTGTGAAACCCAACCAGCCTTACGCGTGACAGCCTGGAATATAATCAGCAGGCAAATGACTGCACGTCTCCCCAACAGGCAAAACACTACAGATGAAACACTGGAGATCCTGCTCCAACAGTGAATGGGGGGCAGCAACAAAGCACTACCCAAAGCACACTATGAGCATAGGCAAACACTCTGCAGACAACTTAACCTTAGCAAACCACTTTCAAACAAAGTGTGGCTGTTTAATGCAGAGTAGATAGAAAACCAAAATTTATCCAGAAATCACAAAATTAAGTCAACCATCTTCAGCAAAAAGAAACCCAACAAGCAAAAAAAAAAAAAAATCCAACCCCAAAACCTGAATGCAGTGATGCTGAAACTAGGATCTCAGGCAAAACAGAAAAAGCAAAGCAGTGAAGGAGTATTATGTAGGACGTCCTCCTTCCACAGCTGCACTGTTCTACTGCTGCTCTCAAGGGCTCACAGCTGCTTCCTCATTCGTGCTCAAACCCAACAAACTCTTAAAGTCAAATGAAGTGATTTAAATTAATTTATTTTTTTTTAAACAGTCCCCAGATCAGACAGTAGCGAAGGGTGACATTAATACTACAACTGTATTACAGTTCTACATTCACCTTAATGATTTGGCGCTGATGAAACTAAAGCATCACAACTTCTGCAATACAAAGCTTGTTCCCTGCTCTTTGGTACTTTGCATTATAATATTTTTCACTGCATACATCTCCAGTGCCACATCAATGAAGGTGGAAGAGCCATACATTGAAGCACATACAGCCCTCCTCCAACACCTCCAAAGATACCTTCTGGCTTTTGGGTTTTTTTTTTAAAGTCATAAAGAATTGACAAGGTATTGCCTGTCAATAACACACATCGCCTCAAAACACCTTTGCATGAGAACGGAGAGAAACACAAGGAATGATGGCACCATGGTTCTTTGGATATCATCCCAGAGATCTGCACCACTCATCACACCTGCACAGTGCATTACTCCTTTTCCTCCCCAGATAAAAGTTTTAATTTTCCCCTGGCCTTTAGAGCCACGAACCCCTTAGCCACCTTCCACATGCTCCCTTACCTCTTCATCTAAGTTTAGGAAACACAAGCTCTGAGCTACCAAATCCATACATTCAGCTGTGCTGCTGAAGCACAAGGAATCGGTTCCAAGAACAACTACACAAATGCCCAGCTGAAGACTCAGTGTCTAACACACAGCTATGCAGGCAGGCAATCCAAAGCTCACCTACGTTGGCCAAAGGTTTGCTCCAAAATTTGCCGAAAAAAAGCCTAGCGAGTTCTACTGATTGTGGCGAGGGCTAGGTCTTACTGTGCAAGTTACAAGTAATAAATACACCGTTATCTCCCCCAGGATGCACAGCGTAAGCCTACCCAAGTCAGCTCGGATCCAGTAGGTTTCGCTGAAGCATTACAGAGACTATAAAAGTACAGAAGTGCTGGAGTTCCTTCCTACCCTCCAGCTGGTTTTCTGTAGCCTAAATCTTTAGACCCCCACCAAGCACGCACTTCAGCAGACGGAGAAAGCTGCAAAACGGGCAAGCTTAGGAGAAGCGACCTGAAGAACCGCACCCGGCGAGGAGGACTCTGCGCCTGGGTCCTTCAGCCTGTACCGGTTACTCTACCGAGCTGCAGCACCTCTCCCAGCGCGTCTCGCCTGCTTCGAAACCCCCGCCAGA